CACTTTTTCACCCATTAAAACAGATAACCCGGTGAAGGCTGAGACCAGAAGCAGAATCCAACTTAATAAGGTAGAATTGCACAGCTACAAAAGTAAAAATTAAAAAAAAAAAGTCTCTGGGCATGAGAGAGTGCTACCAGCAAAAACAAAAAGCAAAACAAGATTAAAAACAGCAGAGCATACTTTTGCGCACAGCTGAAAATGGCTGAAGGGTACCCTGCAGACAGCCAGAAACGACAATATAAAGACATCAATCCTTCTTTTTCTTCTGTGCATGCTCAGGACCTCAACAAGATAGAAAGAAGACAATGAAGGGTTAGTCTGAGTCCTAACAATGCTGGCAGGCAATGCCTCGCTAGGAAAGATCAGCAGTCTTGAAGCTGAGTTCAGCCCCTTTACATCCCTAATTAGCAGCATATTTGTAAGACAGAAACTTGAAATACACTTTCTGCAGAGCTGCTTTAATCTTCAGTATGAAAATGGGGCCAAAGCTTAGTTCTGCGTGACTAGTATTTATATGCGTGGCTTTGTAGATAACAGATCGATTCACAGGCTTAAAGTTCTCCACCAGCTTTAGTGGCTGGTGGACAGAAGATCATCACAGAAGACTCAGGAGATGCAGAGTCCAGTCCCAGCTCTGCCCCTAGCCTCTAGGATCATGCGGGCCACATCACTGTACCTCCTTCGGTTTCACTTCTAGAAATGGGGACAATGGTACTGTTCTCCCCACAAAGCGCTTGAGGTCCACTGATGAAAAGCTAGGTATTACTAATAACAAATACTGTCAGCTTTGTCAGAAGAGGATTTCAGGTTACCAAAGTGTAACCTTCCAGATGGCCACGTACCACAGTGACACTGCTGCAGAACTGCTCCATTTTCTCAGATGAAGTGTTTCCCTGTCACAGTCAGGCTCTTCCTTGTAATAATTCAGGGACACATCAGACGATTTTATCAAATCAGACAAAAGGAGAAAAGTGAAAGAGATATCAAGTTTCCACGTGTTTTGTGATAACAGGCTGTCTGCTAGCAGACTGACAGATGATTAGCCCATATGTTGAGAGAAAGCTTGCAGTGTAAGCTCAACCACAACATTAGACAGCAGAGAATCCACACAAACGCCAGCCAGAGAAAAATAAACTTCTTAAGTTTCACAGCTCACAAAACTACTTTTTATATGTGGATGGATGGGGAGAGGTTGCTCATTTTCAACAAATATTGCCAGCTCTGAGGCATTTTGTGTTTATTTCGTTTTTCCTTCAAGTATAAGCGTAGTGAAGCTTTGCTATCTTTTGTTGGAATAATTCCTGAGATATCAAAACACTGTTAAAAAGGGAGATCCATCTGAGCAAACCACAGTGAGCCCACTAACACCAAATGTGGGCAGTTTCTGATGACAACATTTGATTATCCTAGTTTATCATCTTACTACAAATATTTTTATTTTGAAATATGTGCAACAAATACACATATACAAATGTGTTTGGAAGACAAACCGCACATAAAATCAAATTAAATAGTCAAGGCATTAACAAAGAAGAAATATTATGGCCTGTACAAACACCACCCATCTCTCCTGCCGTTCTCTTCTTGTAAGCCAAAGGGACATTGTAAGTCATACCGTCTTGTCCCCCAAAGTATGCAGAGATAAATTCTGCCACTTTCCACATCATATGTGCTAGAAAGAGTGGATGAATGGTACAAGAACTCATGAAGTGATTGAGGAATATTTTTGGGCCTTCCAATATTTACACTGGAATTTTATTATTTCATTGATTTTGTTTGTGTTTAAGGAAAAATGTTATATTTATCAGATAGGATGTTTTGGTCAGTTAACTTATCAAAACCATTTCATTCAGGCACAGCCTGCCTAGAGTGTTGACATTTGGCCAAACACACTCAAGCAACATTAATACTCAAGGCTCATCTATTTCACATATCCGAAATTCCACTATTCAAGCTTTTATTAAAAGAAGTGTTGCTAGTCCTTATACCTATATTGGCACACTTAAAGCCAAAGGGAAGCAAATTTCTAGAAGAC